TAGCATGAGTTCATGCGAGCGCTTTGTGCGAGCGCATGGCTCCATGCGTTACCTGACGGTCGCCTCGTCGCCCTCCGCGGACGGCGATCCCACATACTTGACGCGGTACTTCAGGGATACCTGCGACAGGTGTGAGGAGAAAGGGCGGGAGGGTTGTGGAGTGAGGACGCGCGCAAAGGTGCGTGGTCGCGCTCGAGTGTGGATGCCTCTGTGTGCATGTATGGGTGCATGTGTGTGTGCATGTGTGTGTGCATGTGTGTGTGCATGTGTGTGCATGTGTGTGCATGTGCATGTGTGCATGTGTGTGTGTGCATGTGTGTGTGTGTGTGCTTGTCAAGGAACACAGGTGTGCGAGAAAACAGCACCAACCTCCAGCAAGAGAGATCTATCCTTGGCATTGAGCCGTGACGGAAGGTCTGACTCGTCTGCACGCGAGTCCATCTGCATCTTGCCGACGTGGCTGCGTGCTGTGCTGTGCTGTGATGTTGTGTTGGATATGTGCGTGTGTATCTGCTGAGTTGTGTGGTGTGTGGCGTGCTCTGTTGTGTCTCTGGCGGTTGGTGCCTACGAAGGAGCGAGGAGGGAAGGAAGGGAGGATGAACGCGACGATGAACGCGGCTTCCTGGTGCAGGTGGGTGGGCTGGGTGCGCTGTTGTCGCAGTCTGCTGTTTCCAGTTTGGTTTTTCTTCTTGCTTGTCTTGCTTCCTCTTGTTTGTTTGTGTGCACACCCAACCGCAAATTTGAAAGTGAAAATTGCCCAAGCACCTCAGCGCTGCACCCCAAGCAAGCGAATACAGAGAAAGAGAGAAAGAAGAAGTCTGTCTGTCCTGTAGCTCTTGGCTGCCTCCCTGCCTCCCTTCCTTCTCCTGTCCTATGATGCGGTGTGTTGGGTGTGAGGATGCACGTGTGACATGCGGGATGGCAGTAGAGCTTAGGTGTAGATTGGGGGGAACGAAGGGGAAGATGGTGATTCAGTTGTTCTTCCTTCCTTCTTGCGATGTGATCCAGTGACTCCAGAGATCAAGTGGTGTTAGGGTGTTGGTTTGTTCTTGTTTCCTTGTTTCGGGTTGCTGCAGGGTTTTCTGGACAAGCTGTCGGGGGCCATCATGCTCTCGCGCGAGCGCAGTCACCCAGCTCTCAAGGCGCCAGAAGTACGACAACAGGACAACATCACAACCTTATCCAGTTATCCGCAGACGTGTCGAAGTGTACGCAGCATCACGTCCAAGGCGTTTAAAATGGTCAGATTACATTTTACATATGAATGTCGCATCACACAATTCTATCCGACAGGTCAATTATTCGGCAAAGGGCAGAGGGGCACGCTGTACAAACATAAGGCAAGCACCTCAAAGCAGCCTCGAAAGCAGCGCAACAATGCGCGCACACACAACACAACAAACGGGCGAATCCACTATCTCCCTCCTCTTCCTTCCTCCTTTCTTTTTGGCCCCTTTTGTTGCGCATGCGAGCAAGCAATTTGCACTGGATCAAGGGTAGAGAGCCTCCTTGGTGAAAGCAGGGGAGGCCACGTCTTCAGTGTCGCCGTCGGTCGAAGGGGGCGCGTCAGTGGTGGTGCAACGCGTGTAGCGGATGCGGTCGTGCAGACGGCTCGGCTGGCCCTGCCAGAACTCGATCCAGAGAGGCCGCACGATGAAACCGCCCCAGTGCGCGGGACGGCGAGGAACATAGCGGCCTTCTGCGCACTCGGCCATCAGTCGCTGATACTCCTCGTTCAGCTCCCTCCTACTGTGCAGCGGCTGCAGAAGCCAGCGCATGCCGTGCGCGGGGTGTGAGTGAGTGAGTGTGTGTATTTGTAAGTGTGTGTGTGTGTGTGTGTGTGTGTGTGTGTGTGTGTGTGTGTGGGTGGCCGTTTGTGCAACATGTGTGCGTGTGTGGGTGTGCGTGTGACTCTGGGCTTCAAGAGAGCTACAGAGGTGCACGTGTCAGCCAAGGCAACAAAAGCAGAGCGACAAAGAAGAGCAGCAGAGAGACGGTAGGACAGAACACACACACACACACACAACACACACACACACACACAGTCCCTGCACCTTGCTCTGAGTGGAGATGATGGCGCCAATCTGACTGCCAATGGGCCGGCTTTCAAAGTACTCGTCAGATTCAGCGTCGGGGACCCGTTCCACCTGGCCGTGCACACGCACGGAGCGGCTGAGCGACTGCCACCAGAACACCAGGGTTGCGCGCGGGTTTCCCGTGAGCTCCCTCCCCTTCTGCGAGTCGTAGTTGGTGAAGAAGCGGAAGCCGCGCTTGTCCACGCCCTTGAGCAGCACCATGCGTGCGTTAGGCACGCCGTCCTCGTCTGCCGTGGCCAGCGTCATGGCGTTTGGCTCATTCTCCTCCGCCTCCACGGCGTCTTGCAACCACAGCTTGAACTGCTTCAGCGGGTCCTCATGCAGGCTAGCTGCGCTCACGGGCTCTCCCTTGTACACGCGTCGCATCCCCGTCACATGTTTCCCCACATCCAAACCCGTCGTGACACGTGCCTTCTCATCCTCACCACTGCCAGCCACTTCAACATCCATGCTGTGTGTATGTGTGTATGTATGTGTGCGAGTGTGTGTATGTGTGTATGTGTATGAGAGAGAGAGAGAGAAGAGAGAGAGAGAGAGAGAGTGTGTGTGTGTGTGTGTGTGTGTGTTGCAATGTTGCTTGTTGTCGGCTGGAGCGCAATTTGAGAAGTTTTGTGAACATCTTCATACAATCGTCCTCAATTCACACACAAACAAGGCACTGACCAACAACAACCACCAAACCAAGGTTGTTCGTCGTTCTCCATCTCATCGTCGATCCGATCACATCACCACTCACACAGCAACAACAACGATGGGACTGTGTGGGATTGTCAGCTGCGTGGCTTACGTGGTCACTGCGCTGTTTGTGACGGCGCTGGTGCGCACGTATGTCAAGGCCGGTGCGCAGGCGGCGACGGCGCAGTTCATCGCCGCCCTGCGAGCAGCCATCCCCGGCCTGAACGCCATCCTGGCCTTTGTCATCGCGCGTGAAGCACATGACGCCGTGGGCAAGCTCATGCCAAAGTCCGGCGACGGCGACGACGGCGCGGAAAAGAAGGCCATCTCGGAGCGCGTCACCCTGCCGGAGAAGGGCGTTCCCGTGGAGGAACTGCTCGAGCGCATGCGGGAGCTGAAGAACAAGGACGCCGACGCAGACCATGGGCGCCTCTTTGCCCTTGTGTACACCACGGAGAAGGACAAGCACATGCAGGCCGTTCGCAAGGCACAGTCCATGTTCAAGGACAAGTATGGCCTTACGGATGAGTCCATGGACGCGTTTGTGACCCAGGCTTACAACATCTTCTCCCACGAGAACGGGCTCAACCCGGCCGCCTTCCCAAGCCTTCGCCTCTTTGAGACGGAGACGTGCAGCATGATTGCGGACATGTTGAACGGTGACGAAAACGTCGTTGGCAACCTCACCTCCGGCGGCACGGAGAGCATCCTCATGGCCGTCAAGACGTACCGCGATATGGCTCGCACCCTACGCCCAAGCATCACCGACCCGGAGATTGTGTGTTCACTGCTCTGTGTGCTGCGCTGTGGCGTGTGACCTGCGTGCACGTGTCTGTGTTTGTGTGTTTTATTTGCGTGCGTGCACGTGTGTGTCTGTGCTTGTGTGTGTGTGTGTGTGTGTGTCTGTGCTTGTGTGTGTGTGTGTGTGTGTGTTTGTGTGTTGTATTTGCGTGCATTGTATGTCTGTGCTTGTGTGTGTCTCAGTGTGCGTGTGCATGCAGCATGCATGCATGCATGCATGTATGTGTATGCTTGCGTGCATGTGCGTGCTGCTGGGTATGCGACTTCATCCTGTTGGCCAACATCCTAACCAGTGCATGCCACACGATTACAATCATTGGCAGGTGTGCCCCATCACGATCCACCCTGCGTTTCAGAAGGCCGGCGCGTACTTCAACGTGCGCATCGTGACAGTGCCCGTGGACAAGAACATGCGCGCAGATGTCAGCGCCATGGCCAAAGCCATCACCCACAACACCATCGCCCTTGCCGTCTCCGCCCCGCAGTACCCGCACGGTACTGCCAAGCCTACACTATGCTGCGTGCAAGTGTATGTGTGTTTGTGTGCATGTGTGTGCGTGTGCGAGCTGTGTGCATGTGTGTGTGTGTGTGCGAGCTGTGCGCAACGTGAACAGCATTTGCGCATCTGCATCACACTCCCTGCTCACGTGCTCACGCATGGCGTCCCTCTCACGCTCACACGTCCCTTTCCCCTCCACCCACCACTATGCCCTCCTCATTCCCTACAACCCCCCTCTCTTCCAGGCATTGTTGACCCTGTTGAGGCTGCTGGTGCGCTGGCGGAGGCACGCGGCCTGCCCCTGCACGTCGATGCGTGCTTTGGCGGCTTCATGCTGCCGTGGGTGGAGAAGCTCGGCTATAAGGTGCCCGTGTTTGACTTCCGCGTGAAAGCCGTCACCTCCATGTCTGCCGACATCCACAAGTACGGCTGGGGCGCCAAGGGCGCGTCGTGCGTGCTGTTCCGCAACAAGTCCATCCGTAAGCACATGATCTTCGCCTACTCCAAGTGGCCCGGTGGCCTCTTTGTCTCCCCAAGCATGGCCGGAACTCGCCCAGGTGCGTGTTTTTATGCGTGGATGTGTACTTTTGTGTGTGTGTGTGTGTGTGTGTGTGTGTGTGTGTGTGTGTGTGTGTGTGTGTGCACGTGTGCCTCTGTGTGTGCTTGTGTGCTTGTGTTGTGTGCATGTATGCACATGTGTGAGTGACAATGAAACAGGTTGTGTGTGTGGTTGTGTTCTCGTTGAGCAAGCGTGTGCGTGAATGTCAACTGTTCGTTATTGGGGCCCATGTAAGGTAACCACGATTACAACAACGACCACCAACACCATCACCATGACGTGCTGCAGGTGGCACAATTGCTGCCTCGTGGGCGGCCCTTAAAGCGCAGGGCAAGGACGGCTTCATGCGCATTGCCCGCGACACGATGACCACGACCACCAAGCTCATCACCGCCATCCGCGCCTTGGACGACCTCGACATTGTTGGCGAACCCAACATGACCGCCTTCGCCGTCATCTCCACCAACCCGAGCGTCGACATCCAGGCAGTGGCAGATGTGATGGAGAGCAAGAACTGGAAGGTTGAGCGGCAGCAGAACCCGACGTGCCTGCACTTCAGCATTATGCCGCACCACGCCAACGCCGCCGACGACCTCGTCCAGGCCCTCAAGGACGTGAGTTGGGAGGGAGCGGGGATTTGGGGTTGGCATGTGGGCGTGAGTGCGTCTGCATGCTGTGTGTGTGTGTGTGTTTGTGTGTTTGTGTATGTGTGTAAGTACGATGGACGTGTTTGTCTCTGTGACTACTGTTGCTGCTCCTTCCGAGAACAACCATGTCATGCTGCAGCAAGTCGCACGTCTCTCGTGCGTACATTCATCACTTCATGCATGAATGCTCACCGTCACAACCCCCCCTTCCACCGGTCAACGCACACACACACACACAGGCTGTGACGGCTGTGAAGAACCACGAGCTGTCCGCTGAGGGCGTTGCTGCGATGTACGGCATGGTGGAAAAGATGCCGGACAAGGGTCTCGTCACAGACTTCCTCAAGAACCTCATGAACGACATCTACTCGTAACTTGAGCCGCCACACAAGACAGAGAGGGGGGAGAGAAAGGGATGTTCCATTCTCCCTCTTTCGGGGGTTTTCCCCCTTTGTTGCCTTTGTTGGTGTTTTTCCTTTTATGGGGTTTTGCGCGTTGCTTTCATCCCTTGCTGCTGTCTGCGTCCCTTGTCTTGTCTGCGTCTTCGTTTTCTCATTCACACTCGATTGCATCTCCCCTAAACAACCGTTTTCCAACTCCATCGTTAATCAGCCTTCCTTCCTTCATGTTCCACCCCCCCCCCAGTCCCTCCGCTCGCTTTCATATCCTCTTCGTGTTCGTTCTCTCTGTTCCCGTTGATATATGGTTGTTCTCGCGTTGCCTGTCCCCCTTTCTCCTACATGTCCATTCATCTGTCTTGCTTGTGTCTTGTCTTCGTCTCCCCATTCACACACAACGGCGACTTGAAGGTGCGGTTTTACTACAACTGGGTGCCGTGACAGTGACGTTGCAAGCTTGCATGAACACCAACTACAAACATACAGCAGCCATCTTCTCGTCATGCACCTTCACCAAATATGCACAACGAATAGGGAACAGTTAACAGGCAGAGTGAGAGGAGGGGAGAAAGGGAATGCAGATTGAGAGACAGAAAGAGAGGGTGTGTGTGTGCGTGTGTGTTTGTGTGTGAGACAGAGGGAGCGAGAGAGAGAGAGAGAGAGAGAGAGAGAGAGAGATTCAGCAGGTGTGTGTGTGTGTGTGTGTGTGTGTGTGTGTGTGTGTGTGTCGCACGCGGATCGGCACGTCACAGCGCGTAGGAGCGTTCGGGCTGGCGCGTTCGCCGCTTGATTGAGTCCCACAGCCACTTCGCCGTGACGACACGCGCCCCCGTGCTGCTGGCCATGGACACGGCGCTCTTTGTTGCTGCATCCCACTTGTCCACATCAAGATCAGGCACAACCACGTGTGTCACATCACCGCCCATGGCATTCACCAACTCGGCCCCAAATGCAGTGCCGTACCGATACGCCTTGCTGTAGTCGGGCTGCACATGCAGTGGCGCGGGGTGAGAGAATGAGGTGAGGCAGGTGAGGACTAACACGGCAGCATCTTGAAGGGGAAGCGGGTCGCATGGCAATACGAAAAGCAGGGCAAGGAATGAAAAGCAAAGGAAAATGTACCACACGACCACACACGACCACACACGACCACACACGACCACACACGACCACACACACACACACACACACACACACACACACACACACACACACACACACACACACACACACACACACACACACACACACACACACACACACACACACACACACATATGCTCACGCACCACGGCGTCGGAGATGAAGCACGTCACTCCATGAAAGACATTCTTCAACGGGCCATCATCTGCTGTCGTCGCGTCGCCATTTTTGTTCTTCGCACCGCCTCGTCCCGCAACACCCGCCGCTTTTCCACTGTCACCATCATCACCACCACCACCACCACCACCAGCAGCAGCAGCAGCAGCAGTGGCAGCAGTGGCACCATCATCCACATCAGTGGCAGCGTCACCGCCAGCATCGCTACCCTCGTCCACTTCCTCATCATCGCTGTCCCGCCAGTCCTTGTCGCCCGGATGCGCGAACCGCGCCTTGTGCGCCGGGTTCTTCTGGTAGCACGACGCCCCATAGCGGCACTTGTCCCGCTTCCGTTCGCCGCGCGCGTGTGTGCGCGCAGGCACCCTGCCCTCGTCGTCCTCATCTTCGTCCATCTCCTCGCTGTCAATCTCATCAATATCGTCATCGTCCACCACATACTCATCATCATCGCCATCACCATCGTCATCCGGCACCACAAACCCGTCGTACTCGTAGTCATCGTCTTGGTCAAACGCCAACGCGTCCTTTCTGCCCGTTTTCTTCGTCGTCTTTCGCTTCCTCGTCCCACGTGCCGCCATCGCCGCCGCCGCTGCTGTTGTTGCTGTTGTTGCTGGTTTCTTCTTCGTTGTCGTTGATCCCTTGCCTGCAGCGCTGATCTTTGCTGTCTTGCTTGCAGGCTCACCGTCATCGTCCGCTTCCTCGCCATCGCCGCGCCGTGCGGTCTTGTCCTTCTTCATGAAAGACGGCGCTGGCGCAATGTCGGTGCGCTCTTTGGAAGTGTCATAGAGCTTCTTCAGCTCCTTCAGTGACGTGGCCGTCTGCCAGTCTTTGTCATCCCGAACTTTTGTCACGCGCGGGAACCTGATGGAAATGTTGTCCGCAGAATGGCTGTCGTGGCGTGGTGGTGTGGTATGTAAGTGTAATGTGCGTTGGTGATCAAGAGGAAGACCAAGACATTCCACCACCGCTGTAAGCTCACCGCCACTGCACCACCACCCCCGCACATCCCACATCATCAGTTCGACATCACAACACAACCAACCAACCTGGTTGACTCTGAAAACTCTGCGCCGGTGATTTCCCAGACGGGCGCTTTCTTTGGATCTGGAACGATGAAGTCGGGCACCAGGTCAGACTTGTTGATCACCAGCCACGACGGCACCTTGCTCGGGTCCTGGTGGCCGTGTGGATGTGCATCAATGTGAACGAAAGGGTGGGAAGGCAGCATGTGGAGAAGAGGGCAGGAGTCGACGTGTGCGAAGGAGGCGGGCCCGGAGAAACACACGAAACCGCAAAGCCACACGGAAGATGCACACGGAAATTCACACCCACACCCACGCACACACCCACCCACACACACACACCATACACACACACACACACACCCGCACACCATACACCCGCACACCCGCACACACATGCGTACCTTGCTGATCTTGATGACGTCGAGCTCGCGGTTGATCTTCTCCAGCGCGGCGTCCGTGTGCCCATTCCCGACTTTGCACACCGTTCGCCACTTGCCCTTGCTGTCCTGGCAGCCCATCAGAAACACGGACATGATGCCGCCCTTTGTGCCCGTGCCGTAATAGGCGCCCAGCACCACCAGGTCGGCGGTGTCCGCCAGCGCTCCTGCCTGGAGATAGTCCTTCTTCACCTAAAGTGGTTGGTCGTGCAGAAAGAGAAAGACAGAGAAAGAGAGAGAGAGAGAGAGAGAGAGAGAGAGAGAGAGAGAGTGTGTGTGTGTGTGTGTGTGTGTGTGTGTGGGGGGGGGGGGGTGGGATGTGGTGATATGTGACATGGGCATTGTTTGGGCATTGTGTGATGCGATGAGTACAGAGAAATGCGGAGACGTGCGTGCAAAGGACAACACAACTGCAGTATCGTCAAACACGATCATCCAACAACAAGTGCAAGCAACCAGTGAGAGCATCCCACCTTGAGCCAGCGCCGCTTTCCTGGCTGGTACGTGCTGTGGCGGTCCTTCAGCACGAGCCCTTCCAGCCCTTCAGACATGACGCGCTTCATCAGGCCAGCCTACAGCACATGTGCGTGTGTGTGTGTTTTGTTGCAAATCAGCGTGTGTCAAGAAAGATAAAACAAGCCGTATGAACATATGCACGGTAGCGCACACAACAACACACACTTACACATACACAACAACACACACTTACACATACACAACAACACACGCACACGTGCACAACAGCACATACAACAGCACACGCACCAGCTCTTCCTGGCTCTTGATGTGATACTTCTCGGAATACATGATCTGGCGTCACGGTGGGCAGGGAGAGAGGGGCTGTGAGCGCAGCAAAGACATTGTCAAGACCAACCAAAGCGTTTGGAAAGAAACACAAAGAGTCAACACTGACAGCGGAATATGCACACACAGACACACAGACACACACAGACACACACACAAACACACACAAACACAGACACAGACACACAGACACACACAAACACACACGCACATATACGCACACATACCTCGTGTTCGACTTCGACGACATTTGATTCGAGAAATTCCCTGCGTTCTCGGAGGGTCTTGTTCATGAGCGACTGGCCGTTGAAGTGGAGAATGTCAAAGATAAACAGACATGGCCGTGCCGTCTTGAACGCTGGCAGACACACACACACACACAAGTACACATGCACACACACACAAGTACACATGTACACATGCACACATATGCAGGCATGGGTGGTGAGTGTATCGGTTGAGAAAGCAGCAGGGTCGACTGCAAGTGTAGATCACCCTTAGCACGCACGCACGTTGCGGCACAACACAAGGTAAACCCCCATTGCAAAATCATGCTTGCAGGCACACCTTTCTTCTTGTGGATGCCGAGAGTGCCGAATGGCAGCGGCTTGCCCGTGCTCGTGTCGACCATCAGCACCTCTGCATCCAGAATCATCGTGTCGCCGTGTGGGCACGCCTGCTTCACGGAGTCCTTGAAGAACTGCAAACGTGTGTTTGAGGGGGAGGGGGCGACAGAGAAAGGGGTGAGCGGGGGGTGTGTGTGTGTGTGTGTATGTGTGTGTGTGTGTGTGTGTGTGTGTGTGTGTGTGTGTGTGTGTGTGTGTGTGTGTGTGTGTGTGTGTATCATTAATGGGGTGTGAGTCTCGTCGTGCACTCGGCCAACGCACCGTAATCTTGTGGTCCGACACAGGCTTCAGGCTGCGACTGAAAAACTCAAAGCGATCCCCGCGCTTGTGCACTTGCACGCGCTCCCCATCGTATTTGATCTCCGCATAGATGCCATTGGGGCACTGCCACGAGCATGAGGGCGTGGTGTGGTGTGTATGTGTGTGTGTGGGCATGTGTGTGTGCGTGTGCGTGTGCGTGGATGAATACAGAAGCAAAGCAGACGAAAGCGACGGAGCAGGCGAACATGCCATGTCAGCTGCACTACGCATCAACATCAACTACAACTACGCCCCCCCCCCCAAACACACACACACACACACCTTTGAGAATGCGCGCTCGTATGTCCTGCAGGCTTCGGCCAGCATGGGTTTGACGGCGGTCATCAGCGACGCGCGCACGCTCAAATCTTTGCTGAGCTTGCCACCCTTTTTTGTGGCCTGAATGCGGTTGATGAGCGCCTTGAGACTGTGCGACGCCTGCCACGCCTCGTACGCACGTGGATGCAGGGCAGAGAGAATGTGCTTTGGCCCCGCGAACGTGCGGAGATCATGCTTCATGCTGCGAAGAATAAAGCGCACGTCATTGACGGTGCATTTGGGCAGCAGCTTGCGGAACTCGGCCGTCTGCGCATCGATGGTTGTCAGCCCTTCCATGCGGCGAAGAAAGTTCTCCACCTCCGCAAGCGTCAGCGTGCTCTTCTCCTTGGGCGGAATGCGCCTGTTGCGGTGGTTGTCGCGGTCGTGTCATGAACACCAACAGAAGGGGCGCACAGAGCACAAGCATACATACATGCACACACGCACATACACACACAAGCACAACCGCACACATGCATACACGCACACATGCACACACACACGCACAAGCACAACCGCACACACGCACACCACAAACGCACACACGCACTTGTTCTTTGCGAAGAATGTGGCGCATGTCTCGGGGCAGTCGCCCTTGTCAAGATCGGCCGTCATGGCGGCAGCGTCACAGCCGAGGAGATTGCTGAACACACGCACAAACGCCTTGTCCTTCATGTTGTACACGCGCTTTGGGTTGCGGGGCAGCAGCAGCCGGATCACCAGATACAGGTCGCCCTTGAACCCGTCGCCTGCTCACATGTAAACATGCGTGCGTGCGTGCGTGTGTGTGTGTGTGTGTGTGTGTGTGTGTGTGTGTGTGTGTGTGTGTGTGTGTGTGTGTGTGTGTGTGTGTGTGTGTACGTGTGAGGATGAGGAGGGAACGTTCAAGGAGTCAACCCCACACGCTGCATGAAGCGTTACACACACACACACATGCATACACATACATGCACACGCACACCACGCACCCGAGTTGCCCTTGGTGATGTACTGGCGAACGGCGTCTGTCTTGTCGTTGTACGATGGGCGCGCGGCAATGCGGTTGCACAGGTCGCAGAAGTTGGCAAAGCTGTCATCGGGGCCCCCATCCCCCGTGCTCACGTACACGGCCTTGGTGTGGTCGCCCTCGTCATCGTCGTCGTCATCACCAGCATCCCCAGCGAGCGCGCGGGCAAGTGGGCCACCGTCTCCCTTCACCCGCGTCGCCGACGATCCAGCGCGCGCCCCTCGCGTGGAAATGCTCGTGACATCTTCATCACCACCACCACCACCACCAGCACGGGCCTCGTCCTCCTCGTCGCTGTCACCTGGCCCGATGATGGCGGCTGCAACGGTGACGGTGGCCCGCGCTTTCGTGCCCGTGGCGTCCGCAGTCGACGTGGTGGCGGATGAGGACGACAGGTCGCGTGCGGCGCCGGCTGCTGGGCGGGACGTGGTTGTTGATGTGGCCGTGGCGCCCGTCGTGTCCTTGCGCAGGCCCATGGTGCCACCGCGGAAGGACAGCGTGGCCTGGGCGGTCTTCTTTGGGCTGCCGGTGATTGGCGACACGGGCCCAGCCGCCGCCGACGGGGCTGCCTTTTTGCCAGCGGCAGCCGCCTTTGTCTTTGTCTTTGTCTTCTTCTTGGCCTGCTGCTCCGCGTATGCGGTGACAAAGTCGTCGATGGCCTTCTTGACGCTGCGACGGTCGTCCTCACTCAGCGAATAGAATCCTTCCAGGTCCGCCGGATCCTCCAGCTTTGTTGTTGTGGCGCGTGACCTCATTTGCCTACCAAAAGGGGCGGGGGAGGGTGTTGTTGTTGCAAGCCGTGCCATGAACAAACCAGAATGCACCACTGCACTTGCTATTTGTCCTGGCGGCGCCAATAGGGGACACACACACGCACACACACACACACACACACACACACACACACACACACACACACACACACACACACACACACACACACACACACACACACGCACACACACACACACACACACACACGCACACACACACACGCGCACACACACACACACACATCACTGAACGTACGCCTTGAAGAAACAGGGGACGTGAAACCAGGAGGTCATGGTAGCGTCGTCGGAAAAGGCGCTTGGGGTGACCTTGCCGATGCGAAGGACATCCTTGTCAATCTTCTGCTTGCATTCCTTGCAGCCTGAGCGCCCCGTCTTGGCGCCTTCAATCTGGAATGTTGTGGATGACATGATGCCAGCGGCAATTGACAAGGGTGACCCTGTGCTTGCTGGGTGGCAGAGGACGCTGTTGGGCCTCGCAGTGATGTGCGAGAACTGAAAGCTGCGGGCTGCAGTCAAGGCACGCTGCGCTTGTACGGCTGTTGCTGTTGTTGCTGTTGTTGCTGTTATCTCTGTTGTCGATTGTGCTCTTGAGTGCTGTGCACTGGAGTTGAAGCGAGCAAAGGGGCTTGCGTCGTGGACGCGGCCGTTGCAGGCGCTGCTCCGTGTTCTTGCTTCACAGCCCTTATTGTTTGTGTTGCTGTTGTTACTGCTTCTTGTGGCGTAGCGGATGCCTCGTCTGATGATGATACCCTTGCTGTTGCTGCTGCTGCTGCTGCTGCTGCTGCCGCGAAGAAGAAGGAAGGCGTGCCTCAAACCAGCTGCTGCTGTTCCAGCAACCAACATGCGCGCTCACGCAATGAAGGCACACACGTGTCGTGTTGTGTGTGTGTTGTGTTGAGTGTGTGTGTGTTTGGATGTGCTCTGCGATGGGACGTGATGGGATAAATGAGGCAAGGTGCGTGTTGGAACAGTGGTGCTTTGCTTCGCTTGTGTTGCCTGTCTTGGCTTGTTGCTTGTTCGTTGATCGTTGTTGCTGATGTCAGCAGTTTTCAGTTAGGGGTGACACACACAAGGATATGAAAGCAGACAGAGAACTGCGTTTTTGGAGGGATAAGAAGCAAGCAAGCAAGTCGGCGAGTTGAGAGAAGCAACCACACACACACACACACACACACACACACACACACACACACACACACACACACACACACACACACACACAAGCGCGCAGTTTGTGTCAATTGTGTCACTTGGCGTGCCGGGCGCGGCGCTCGGCACGGTGGCTTTGGACTTCCTCTTCCAGCTTCTGCTCGATTTCTTCCGACTCATCCTCTTCCTCCTCGTCGCTGGTGAGGCGGCCGCGTCGAGCCCTGCGCCGCTCCAGGCGCTCGGCATACTGCCTGTTGAAGTCCTTGAGTGTCTGCTCGAGCTTGTGGCGCTCCTTGGGGTCCAGGTCGTCAAACCCTTCCAGGTCGCTCGTCTCCCGCACCTTGGGGGTGTACTCGCGGGAGCGGAGCTGGCGCGTGATGAAGCACGGCACGTGGAACCACCACGTCGTGTCGTAGGCTGGAGTTTCGCCAGAGTACCGGCTCGGCGCCATGATGCCGATGCGTGTCTCGCCCCGGTCAATCGTGTCCTTGCACCGGCGGCACGTCGACCGGCTCGACTTTGCGGGCTCAACCAAAACGCGCGTCTCCTTCTTCTCCTCCGGCTTGATCAGCGGCTCCTCCTGCGTCGCCTTCTCCTTCCCTGCCCTGCCATGCGCAGGCGGTATCACGGCCATCGACATGGTGCGCGGTCGGTCGGCTGGTTGGTTGGTTGGGCGTCAAAGTCTTGCGTGGGGTCCTGCGGGCCGTCTGGGTGTCTTGCTGGTTTGAGAAAAAAATGAACGGCGATGGAGGCACGACAGAGACAGAAGAACGACTGCTGCGAATGGTGTGTGGGGATCACATCATGGCAAGTTCTCGCCTTGCTTCACTTGCTTGCCTTGCTTGAGCGTTGGCGAAGCAACACGCATCGTGATGAAGGTGAGGCTCCATGTTGCTTGAGACTGATCATGGCGAAATGTGTTTGTTTGTGTGTTTCCAACACCAATTAATTTATGGCGTCGCTTTGCGCAAAGTGAGTGCCGCGGCGTATTCGAATCATGTGTGTGTGTGTGTGCGCGCGCGCGCGTCTGTGTGTGTGTGTGTGTGTGTGTGTGTGTGTGTGTGTGTGTGTCTGTTCTGTTCTTCTGTTGTACCAGACACCCGAGACACCAATACGCCTCTTCCGTTTGGCCTTCTTCCCTCCCTTCCTTCAGCCCTTCAGCCGTTTAATTCGTAGTTCCACCAGCCATGTAGTTCAATTTCAACAAACATGTACAGCAAGAGAAGAGAGAACCAAACAAAACGCAACGAACACGCAAGAAAACTACACACACACACAAGCTCATTCGCGCGGGGAGGATGTCATTTGTTGTAACAGTGCAATGGCCTGTGCAAGGCGCTCGTCCATCTGCCGCACTTGTCCACGAACAGAGGTAATCTCGCGTGCCATCTGCGCACGCAGGTCGCTCAGCTCTGACGCCACTTTCCCTTCAACGCCCTCCACCTTGTCTGCCACCTCCTTCTTGAGCGCGTGCAGCACGCCCTGCCACTGCACGCTGCCACCGTCACGGCCAACGCCGCTGCCCTTGGGCACGAGCACGTGCAGCCACATGGGGAAGCGTCGCACATCCATCTTCTCCTCCTGCGTCAGCCACGCGTCCTGCTCCCGCAAGATGCGTGCGCGCAGCAGCTGGAACTCAATGTCTGCGCGGTCCTGGATGCGCTCGTACGAGTCCGACATGAGCGCAATCAGCAGGTTCAGCAGCACGACGGGGACCAGCACCATGGAGATGACAAACAGGATGCGCAGCAGCACCACGTAGTCTCCGTCAAAGGTGTCCAGCTCAAAGTCCGCCAGCAGCAGCATGTTGAACATGAGCAGCAAGCCGTTGGCCGGGTCACCCAGTCCTTCCACCGGCAGCGTGGTATCATCAACAAGCAGCAGCCGGAACGACGTCCACCCAGCCACGATGCTGATGCCAAGCACCAACAGGAAGTAGCGCATGTCGAAGCAGATGGCCAGGATCATGCGCACCAGCGGGCCGGTCGACTGGAACGGCTGCAGGTAGTACAGCAAGCCGTACCACCGCAGGTACACCGCAAGCGCTAAGAACGCGCGCGCATGGTGCCACCCAGCAAAGTACGTGCCCAGCACCACAAACACTAGTACCACATTTGTCACGTCCAGCCAGTTCCAAAAGTCGAGCCAGTAGCCGTGCACCAGCCGTGACTGCCGCACCTCCTGCACCATGTCCACGCCAGCCAGCACGCCCAGCACCAGCATGATCACCACCGACACCACATCGCTGCCGTTGCTGTTGCTGTTGTCGGCTGCACCCAGCAGTTGGGCCACGTCCTTGCCGCTGGTGTTGAAGACAAAGGTGAGGGTGGTGATAAGCGCGACAGAGAGCATGTACCATGCCGCCTCCCACAGGAACTGGCGCTGCCCGCTCGTCTGCCACTTGTACTGGATGACGGCGCGAACGATGAAGCTGCCAAACAGCTCCGCATCGCCCGTGTCCACCAGCGTCTCAAGCAGGCTGGAGCCGTCTGGGAGGAAACCGGCAGCACGTGCTAGTGGCACGATCCGTGCCTCTGTCAGCGTGGGCGCTGCATTGGCGTCTTCAAGCTGCGCCAGGTCGCCAGACTCACGCAGCCGCTTCCACAGCAGCTTGTCGCTGGTGACGGCGTTGGTGCCCGTGACAATCAACTGCGAGGGTGGCAGGCGCGTCTCCTGGTGGTTGTACCCGCTGTCCGTGGTGACGCGCACCAGGCCCAGGCTGTCCAGGAACTCGGCAGCGACAGACGGGAAGCGCTTGACCAGCAGCAGCGTGTCTTCCGTGAGCGTGGGCACGAGGTCGATGTTCAGGGCAAAGTAGTCGCCCTCCTCTCGCGTGCGCAGCACAGCAGCATCGCGCCGGCGCGCCAGGGAGGCAACTGCGCCCGTCACCACTTTCACCATCTCAATGTCGCGCGAGTGCGTGATGGCGGTGTTGAGCATGGAGGGCCGGTGCACGAGCTGCACGCGCGGTTCGTCGCCATGTAGCAGCGCCTTGACTTGCTCGATGCGGCTGGAGGACGCTGCCAGCCACGAACCAACCGTCATATCCGGCAGCTGCGACCGCCACGCACCAGGCGGTGTGGCCACGGCTGCTTTGATGCGCAGCGGCACGAGCGCAGTGAGCGGCGCCTTGTTGGAAGGGTGCAGGTTGTCGATGTTGCTGCTGTCTGTCGGCAAGCTGTATGGGTTGACGGCGGGCCACACTGCCCACAGGGCCACCTTCGCGTGTGCACGGGTTGCTCCGTAGCCACTGACGGTGAGCAGCCGCTTGCCGCACACCACCACCCTGGATGCGTTGTCATCCGCTGTCAGCAGCTTGGTGATGCTGCCAGACTTGACATCGCACGCCACAACGGGGCTGTTCATGGTGACAGCAAACACGACGTCGCAGTCGCGTGCGAACACCAGCGTGTGGGCGTTGCCAACGTTGAACTGCTTCACAACCACCGGCTGTTGTGATCGGTGACACGAGACCACAAACACGTGCTGCCTGTTGCTGACAGCCAGCAGCGTGTGGGTCGGGTGTGCAGCCAAGCACGTGAAGTTGGTGCTGGTGCTCTTCTTCTTGAACATCTCAGACAGGGATACAATCTGATGCAAGGTGCTGGCAGGGTTGCCGTTGTTGTTGTTGTTGTTGTTGTTGTTGTTGTTGTTGTTGTTGTTGTTGTTGTTGTTGTTGTTGTTGTTGTTGTTGTTGTTGTTGTTGTTGTTGTTGTTGTTGTTGTTGTTGTTGTTGTTGTTGTTGTTGTTGTTGTTGTTGTTGTTGTTGTTGTTGTTGTTGTTGTTGTTGTTGTTGTTGTCGCCATTGCTGCTGGTCGTGTCGGTGCTGGTTGGCGTGGTGGCAGCTTTCATCGAAGCTGTGGTGCTGGTCGTGGCTGTACTGGCGTTGTCGCTGGCGTTGTCGCTGGCGTTGGTGCCACCTTTGCCCGCGTGCGTGTTGTTGCCCTCAGCGTTGCTGTCCTCGGACGCCTGCGGGCTGTCGAGGGAGAAGAGCTGCAGTGTTCCGTCCAAGTACGTGGCATGGCCAAAGACAAACGACCTGTTATCTGGAAGCCAGGCCACAAACTTCTGGCCCTCGTGGTACGCGCCAGAGCGGTAGGCCTGCGTTTTGGCGATGCACACCGGAACGCCAGCGCCGCGTGTACTGACGGAGGTGATGTCCCACACGCACAGCTCGGCCTTTGTGGTTGCAGTGAACAAGAGCTTGCCGTCAGCGGATGCGCGCATGATTGAAATGGCGCAGTCGCTGCCGTTGCCGCTGCTGGTGTTGTCGGTGTTGGAGTTGTTGGGGTTGTTGGAGTCGCTTGTGTTGGCGTTGTTTACGTTCCATTCGGCAACGCGCGTGGACGGGAGGCCGAGTCGCCACGCGCTGACGGTGGTGCTGTTGGAGGCGTTAGTGATGAACAGCGTCGGGGTGATCACAACAAACCCGTGGCGCTGGTAGCGGTTGTGGAACTGCGTCATGTCGACGCTTGCCTCACGGCGCATGTCGGGTGGCTTGTAGAGGTCGATGGTGTGGTCCTTGGCGCTGTCCACGACAACCCACGCTGTGCCGTCCGAGGCCGCCTTGCATGTGGTTGCGTCGCTCGGAAACTGCTCTTCGTACACCAGCGTGCGCTGCTCCTCCTGCACGCCAATGCCGCAGACGTGCACACCGAGCTTGGTGACGAAGACGACGTGTTTTGCATCTGGGGTGCAGGCAATGTCCTCGCAGAAGACGTCGTGGCGCTCGCCGATGGGCAGCTGCTGCTTCATCTCGTACGTGTGCAGGTCCCAGATGTAGGCGCCGGTGCGCTGGCACGTGGCGAGGGTACGGCCGTCCGGGGTGACGCTGATGTGCTTGAGGGTGTCCTCGAAGATGAAGTTGCTGTGTTGGAGCGCCACCAGGTACTCGGGCTGGCCCATGTCCCACACGTGCACGGTGCCGTCTTCGCTGCCGCTGCAGAACCGCCGCGGGTGGCCTGGCACGCTGCACACGTCCACGACGCACGGCTGCTTTTCCGCAAAGGTGTACACGTGACGCAGAGATCCGAGGTGAAACACACGGCCACCGAAGCCGCGCGCCTGCGCACCAACAACGAGGTGCACCTCGTCGGAGGTCAGGCACAGGCAAGCGATGCTCTTGTTGGGCGAAGCAGACCAGTTGGCGACAAAGGCCTGCGCCTTCTGGTCCCAGACATGCACGCCGTTGTTAGTTGTGCCGAGCACGATGAGGGCGCGACTGGGCACGAAGAGACCGTGGTTGGCGGTGGCTGGCAAAGCACGCGCACCCTTGCGCTTCGAAGAGGATGCTTGCTCGGCCGCGTCCTCGTCCTCGGACGTGGGCTGTGGAATGTCCAGGGTGTGCGTGCGCGTCTTGGTTTCCACGTCGCATACAAAGGCCTTTGTTCCTTGCCCAATGAGCATCTGCTTGCCGTCCTTGGACACTGCCAGGACCTTGGCCTGTGGCGGCTCCTGGCGTGGGTGTGGCGCGGCGAAGTGGCCAAAGGCTGCGTCGTCGTCCTCGTCCTCCTCCTCTGGTTCGGGCGGGGGCAGATCGATGACGCTTGTGAGGTTGATCTCCTCCGTCTCGTGCGTGCGGAGGTGAACGCGATGCATGTAGCAGCTTTGCTGTGCGCCACAGAACGCGTACTCGCCGTCCTCGCTGACGCAGAACACCCGATCGAGCCGCATCTTCACCCGCACGATCCCGGCGCGTGGGGCAGCGGGTGCGCCAGCGTGCTGGGCGTTGCTGGTGGCTCTTGGCAGCTGCTTCATCTCCATCTCCGCTGGCTCTTCATGCATCACACACGGGGGTGGCACGCTGGGAAATGTGCCGCGTTGGCGGTGTGGCTGCGCGTGGCTGCGTGTGGCTGCGCGTGGCTGCGTGTGGCTGCGTGTGGCTGCGTGTGGCTGCGTGTGGCTGCGCGTGGCTGTTGTTACAAGGAGACAAGAGCGTGTTGGAAGGGGCGGGTGGCAGTGAAAGGTGGTGGGCGTGCTTGACAACAGCGACAAAATGAAAAAACACACCGGCATTTCAAGCGCGTTTGTCAGGCAGGACGCCAGTGACTTGCGCGTGTTGTGTGTGCGTGCATGTGTGCGTGCATGTGTTGTTGTTGTCGTGGACACTGTGTTGTTTGTGGCGTGAAGCATGGTCAGGGCTTTTGCAGTTGCTGTGTGTTGCCGACCAACACAAGCCTTGTGTCACGCACACACGCACACACGCACACATGCTGTCTTTCGTCCATTGTTTAAGGGGAAGGAAAAGACAAACTGAGGCAATCAAGCGGGAAGCAGTTAAGGTAGAACAGACAGGTGCTTGCGTTGCTTTCGCCTTTGTGTGTGTGTGTGTGTGTGTGTGTGTGTGTGTGTGCGTGTGTGTGTGTGCAGTTTGAGGGTTTCAACAGCCTCACTCAACCGTAGAGGTTGATTTGTTGGATCTGCATCGCAAGGGAAGTGAGGGATGTGGTGAGGTGGGCAGTGTGAGTGGACGTAGGGATGGTTGGAGAAGAGGGGGAGGGGAGGTGATAATCACACAGAAAAGCACACAGAAAAGCACACAGCCACAGATACAGACAGCCAGACAGACAAACAAACAAGCAAACAGACACACACACACACACACACGCACCAGGTGGGCGGCCTCGTCGACGTAGTTGACTGGGGATGCGTCGACGACGGAGACGCGCACGCGGGTGTCGTCCTGGTACGTGTCAGCCTTTGCGCGGCACTTGAAACGCCACGTGCGGAACTGTGCATCGGCAATCTTCTTGGAGAAGGCGGCCTCGTCATTCTCCATCAGATGGCCAAGCTCCTGCGACGTCGAATCAAGCAACTTCTCAGCAGACTCCTGCAATGGATGGGAAGGAGGTGTGTGTGCGCGCGTGTGCGTGTGTCTGTGTGTGTTGATGGCACAGCACGGCCATTATGCATGCAGGAGCAACACGAACTCATTGCACATGCGCAGCTACAACACACGAAACACACACACACGCAAACATACAAAAGTGCGCCCACCTGGAATGCGGTGACCCAGGTCTGGCCTGTGGCGTCTGCAATGCTCATGGAGGTCATGAGGCGCCACTTGAAGTTGGGGTAGGACTTGTTGCACTTTTCGCACCGGTACTCCTCCGGACCGTTCTCAATCACCTTCTTGTTGCACGAGTCGGACGGGCACGCGCGGTACATGCAGTTGTCCTTCTTGATGTATGTCACCGTGGCCACCGCCATAAAGTACTCTGGCTTCCCGTCAATCATGCCAATCTGGTCGTCCTGCAATGGTAAAAAGGAGGACGAGGGGCAACGAAGTAAGGGGAGGTGTTTGGCGATGTGTTGCGTGATTAAAGGGAGGGGGCGGGCGGGATGGGGATGGTAGATGCGATATCCCCGTTGCAAACACACACACACACACACACACACACACACACACACACACACACACACACACACACACACACACACACACACACACACACACACACACACACACACACAATCACACGCTACCTTGATCTGGGAGAGGAGGATGCGGGTTGTGTTGCCGCCGGCGTTGCGGACGGTGAGGGGCTTTGCCTCGACGGTGGCGCCCTCCATATCGTACCAGCCCTTGAGGCTGTGTGCCTCATCGTTGTCCGGGTTGATGTACATGGTGCTCGATTGCGACACGGACAGCGACCGGCCTGCGACAGTGATGGAAGGCGGGAAGGCAAAGTTGTGTGTGTTGGGGGGGGGGAGCGGCGGGTGAGGTTGCATGGAACGTTGACGAGAAGGAGGAGAGGCGAGGAGGAGGAGAGGCGAGCACACAGACACATACACACGTACACAGACACACACACCCACACACACACAGACACGAGACGCAAAGCGGCATCGTACCGTTGTAGTCTGAGACGCGTGCGGCCTTGATGGCAAGGACGGCGCCAACAACACCGCCGTTCTTCTCAAAGTCCTCTGCGTCCTGTCCCCACAGCGTGCACGTCATGCTCAGGCCGTCCCGGTCAAGCAGCGTAATGTCCCGCTTCGTCAGCTCTGCACGAGGTGTTTGTGTGGGGGGGGGCATGTGTGAGTGTAGTCAGGAGGATGAAAGTGTGCGTCAAGCACACGCAAACACGCAAACACGCAAACACGCAAACAATTCAACCAACCAACACACACGAACGCACCTCGTCCCGTAGCCTTTGTGATGATGGTGTCTGCGTCGTTGATACTGTGGCAAACGGCGAGGACGTCGGCAAAGACGTTGGACTCGCGGGAGACCGGGGTGTTCTCCAGCTCGCGAAACGACTTGAAGTCAAACTTCTGTTGCGGGATGACGTTGTCTGCAGACATGTCCAGTGTGACCCGGGTGTCCGACTCAAACTGCATCTCGTACTCGTTGTTGAGCTGGTTGAACCGCTTGTTCGCCGGCTTGATCTTGCCTCCCTGGATCACGTAGCACTGCCAACCGCGTTGTTGTTGTGTTGTTGTGTTGTTGTGAGTGAGTGCGGGTGTGTTGTGAGTGTGTGCGTGTGTGTGTGTGCGTTTGTGAGTGTGGGTGAGTGTGAGTGTGAGCGAGTTGGACGCGTTGTTCAAACAAGGGAAATGAAGAGTGGCATGCACCCGGTCAACATAGACACCTGCACAACCCACAGACACACACCCGCACACCTTGCCGACTTCGAAGACTGGGTGGAGGCTGTCACAGACGTCGTTGAAGCCCGTGGCGCGAATCTCGCCGCTGTCATCAATCAGATCCACCGAGAACAGTCGGCCAGACCCTGAACGTTGCGCGCGTGCGAGAGAGAGAGAGAGAGAGAGAGAGAGAGAGAGAGAGAGAGAGAGAGAGAGAGACGAGAGAGAGAGAGAGAGAGAGAGAGAGAGAGAGAGAGAGAGAGAGAGAGAGAGAGAGAGAGGAGGGAGGGGAGGGAGCAGTGTAACACATTCTAAAGGGTTCTGACCTTCCGTAGTCGACGTTCTTCGGACCCCTCGAACCGTAGGTAATCGGATGACAGCCTGGGTCGAGTGGTAAGAACGTTGGCGTCAATTGCCGGTGCGATCATTCTATGACCCAATACGATTCCGCTTTTGCACACACATCCAGCACGCTGCTTGCAGAACGCCTCGTGGGTAGGCTTTATCCGCATCGTCTCGCAATTGGGGGAATTTTAGACACCTTTGATTTATTTTCCCTTCTTCTGCCGGGAACTTATGTGGTCGGTTTGTAGGCCAGGGCAGCGCAGCTCTCACTGATCGGGAATCAGAGTACAGGAATTGTCGAACATGGCATCAACGAACCCCTTCATCGGGAGGCGGAATATCAAGGAGTCTACTGCGTTACTGGCCAAGGACGACATCTTTCTTTCGCCCAGCTCCTGTGATCTGGGAGGGAATAATAAGCAACCCCGAGGGGGGGGGGCACAGGATGGGGGCGATGGTGTCAACGTTCAAGCACACAAAACACACGAAACACACGTACACACGCGCGCGCATGCATGGCGCACCTCGCTGGTTGTTCCATGTGCGAACGTTTGACTTGCTGGCCACGCGCGCGCGAATGGTCCAGCGATGCAGGTACGGGTGCAGGCTCATGATGGGTGAATACGCCTGCAAATGTGTGTGTGTTTACGTGTGTGTTTGCGTGTGTGTTTGCGTTGGGGGGGGTATACACGATAAGAAGAGGAAGCAAACAGCAGCAACAATGCGAGAAGGAGTCAAGGCAGTGACAAACAACAAGAGCATCAACATCAACCGCTTCCGTTCCCCTCCTCCTCCTCCTCATCCTGATCCAGGCTCCTGACCCTTACCCCGGAAGATGCCGCTGCCATGGAAGGCATGGCGGGCTTTGGTGGGGACTTGTATGGGTTTTCTGTTTTGACGGGGGCCGCAGGGCGGGATGCTGTTGCAGCGGAGGGCGCGGGCGCGGGGGCAGGCTTCCTCTTCTCACCCAAGCCAACAGGGTCGCCTGAAGCCACAGCACAAGGCACAATTGAAGTGAGTGAAAGGAAGCAGAAAGGCAGGTTCGAGAAGCGGGGGAAACACAGATGCGCACCTGCACAAACACACAAGGGTACACGAACATGAACCCACGGACACACCCTCAACACATGCACACGCACACCCTACGGACACATACACCGTCAACAAACACACGCACACCCTCAACACACGCACACACGAGAACGCACACACATCACAAACGCACCGATGACGGAGCCGAGGTCCTTTGCGACCACCTCTGCCTGCAGCACGATGATGATGGTGCGGTCCTGCACTGTGTTGGCCATGAACTTTTTGAGGCGAATGGCGCCATTCTTGACGACCTCCTCGTTGACGATCATGGGGTTGAGCTGCGTCGCCAGCATGGCAGAGTTGTGCTTGTTGGTGCCATCGGAGATGGTCAAGCGAAACCGGTCCGCCTTCTGACCCTTGGAGTCTCCAGGAGAGATCTTCTTGATGGTCTGCAAAGCCCGACGGCGACGGCGACAACGTGAGTGTGGAAGGAAGGAAGGAAGGAAGGTCAGCAATGGACAACGCGAGCACGCAACGAGAGACGTGGACGACGCTGGCGGCAACACACACACACGCACGCACCAGGATCTGAACAACTGGGTCCTCTGGCCCTTCATCGCGCATGATCGCCGCGACGGCATTGGGTGTCAACACATCCATCGTCTGCTTGTTCTGTATCCGGTGGTGGTGCGTTGCTTGCTGCTTGTGTGTTTTGGCGCGAAACTGAATGTGGCTGGCGCCCACAGCACAAACACGAACAAACACGATTTTTTCTCTGCATTTTGTGGTGTTGCGCAGGACTAATGTGAACGACAGCGACAGAGCAGCCGACAAGCAAAGATGAAGTGGGTTTGTGTGTGTGTGTGTGTGTGTGTGTGTGTGTGTGTGTGTGTGTGTGTGTGTGTGTGTGTGTGTGTGTGTGTGTGTGTGTGTGTGTGTGTGTGTGTGTGTGTGTGTCCGTGTGTGTGAGTGAGTGTGTGTGTCCGTGTGTGTGTCCGTGTGTGTGTCCGTGTGTGTGTGTGTGTCCGTGTGTGTCTGCCTATCTCCCCCCCCCTCTCTCTCTCTCTGTCTGTCTCACTTAACGTGTCTCGGGTGGCCTTGCAGCATGACACGCGCGATTGAGCGCATCAACGAGAAGGAGCTCGCTGGTGCCACAAAGAAGTCATGGCATGACGACTACAAGGATTCCGCATACATTTTCATCGGCAACTTGGACTACCACCTCACGGAAGGCGACGTCCTCGCCGTCTTCTCACAGTGTGTACTTGCATTTGTTTGCTTGTGTGTGTGTGTGTGTGTGTGTGTGTGTGTGTGTGTGTGTGTGTGTGTGTGTGTGTGTGTGTGTGTGTGTGTTTGCTCTGGTCGTGTGTGCTTTGTGCGTGGTTCACTCAACCGTGGCTCTCACTGTTCATTATGCAATGATGTTACATGACACCGCAGGTATGGTGAACCAACAGATATCAACCTCGTGCGAGACAAGGTACGTGGTGTGAGACGTGGGAGCTTCTTCAGTCATGTGCGTGTTTCTGTGCGTGTCTGTCTGTCAGGGCACCTCTCTGCCTCTCTCTCCTCTGTCCCTCTGTCCCTCTCTCTCTCTCTCTCTCTCTCTCTCTCTCTCTCTCTCTCTCTCTCTCTCTCTCTCTCTCTCTCTCTCTCTCTCTCTCTCTCTCTC